TGGTTGAAAAGAGAGAGAGAGAGAGAGAGAGAGAGAGAGAGAGAGAGAGAGAGAGAGAGAGAGAGAGAGAGAGAGAGAGAGAGAATTTAGGGGTTGCAGTAAATCATTTGTAGGTAGCTTTGGTTGACCTACCAAGTCAAACTTATCGTTGGAAGATATGCCATGCCATTAATGAAGCTATTTTTTTCTCTTTGAGTAAATCTCTGAGTCGCCAGGACTCCATTTTTTTAATATCCATGAGGTATTGCTCATCCCCTGAAGGCTGGAGATGTGTGTGTACACACACATGGTCTTAGGTTGTCCTCAACAATGTCAGCATACTAGCATAGTAAAAGTCCATGACTCCATGCACCATACCACCGCAACAACTTAGGAGGACAACACGCATCTGTGTGGGTCGAGACACTGGATATCCCTCAGCGTAATACAACAGAGCAGAAAGCAGAAGCAAACAAGGGATGACCCTCGGCAGCAAGGCAGTTGAAGGCACGTAGGTTGGAGGGCACGTGCCATTGGGAGGTGGGTACACTGGGTAGGCAGTCAAGCAGCCCAGGCCCCAAGGCAGTGAGGGGAAAAGGCAATGAGCCAACCAACAGCAACGCCAAAGTTGCAAAACCAAAAAGAAAAACACACAAGAATCACAAGTACTGTAACAATAAAAAGACAAAGACTGAAAAAAACAAGAACTGTTGTGGATTATAAATTGTTTCGTAGGAGATGCACAGGCTCAACAGGAGGCTGAACGCTTGACAATCGGTGGAATCCCTGTATTGATGATTCGGGTCATGAACCCTTTCAGGCTTGGTGAAGGCAGACTCAGCCAGACTGTCCACAAAAGGAACACAGCAGCAGGCAACGCATCAACTGAGTGAGGCACCAGGCAATGCTGCCAGCCCGTGCCGAAGCACCGGTACTGCAGAAGGCCGAAAAACTAACTGCATGGTTAAAACTAACTGCATGGTTGATACGGAAGTGGACGAGCAGCATGACAACAGCACAGCAACAGCACAGCGAAGCACAAGGCAACACTGACACAGCAGGCAAACTCCACAGAACAAACGCAAAGAACGGGGATGGCACATCATGCCGATAGGTGGCAAGGGGCAGCAGTGCAGCGAGACACAAGGCATCAGGAACAATGCAGCCAAACTACAAAAAAAAAAAGCACCCACAGCACGCTGCAAACAATACGTTAAACATGCCAAGCAAGCGCCGAGCAGGACAGGCATCAAGGCACTGAAGGCAACCGTGGAGCACAGACAAGCAGTCTACACATCCAACACGGAACAAAGCCACACATCAGCTACCCACATCACGAGTGAACCTCAGAGACTGTTCGTTCCCACCACACACTGAGGCAAGGAGTCACTCCGATGGACATCTGTCATCACCCATGGACCACATGCAGTATTATGCACAACACGAACATCACGAACAGAGTGGCCCCCATAATTATAGTGTTACAGAACTTACAGGCACTCCAAACACCCCAACACCAACTGTTTAGCACTTCCTAAAGGTGCTCACTCAACCGCACAGAAAGTGCTTAGAAAACATACGATGAAGGACAAACAACAAGAAAACACAAACATACATAAAACTGATTGTGTGTGTGTGTATGTGCATTTTTTCCTTATTTTTTCCCCTTTTTTTTGTGTGTCTGTGTGTGACACTGTGTGTGTGTGTGTGTAGCATGTGTTTGTCACATGAGTTTCGCACGAGTACGACACGTCATACCCGTGCTGCTCCGACCAGACACGTTGACACACTGTGCGCAAGATGCAAAGCGCGGGGGGCTATGTGTCCCCCTAGGCCGCGCGGCCCAGTTTTTTTGCGGCCGCACCACAGCCAGGCAGCGGCGCGTGCGCGCGGCCTGCGCACGTCGGCCGCTGTCGGCCTGTGCAAAAAAAAAAAAAAAAAAAA